ATGCTTCCAGGCTTGGCAGCGGCGCTGGGATCGTTGTGTTCACTCCCAGGGGAACTACTTCGAGGGTGATGGATGAATTTAATACCTGAGATAAGTGTACGGGTTTTTATAGGCGCAGTCTGGAAACTTTCCGATCGCACCACGTACTACCTACATCAAAAGTTTAGAGCATGACGAGAACCATTTCCTGCCAGAGATATGATGTGATCACTGAATGCACTGTACTAAGTATACAAGTTGTAAGAAAAGGTTGAACTTACTTGCTTTTGCGCAAAATGAAAAGCCAGAAACAACCAGAAAGAAAAAATAGGAGAGACATCATGAAGTAGAGAGCTGGGAGAGGCATCTCACCAGCTGACAAGTAATTTTCTCTGTTCTTTTCTTCAATGGCCAGCTGCAAAAGAAATAAATACATATAGTATGGGATAAACACATGTCCTTCATTACTCTATTAACCATGCTGTACAGCTTATCTTTAAAAACAACAGCAAGTTTATGAACAATGCGTTTGAAGGATGAAACCAACTGAGATTCAAACCAGTGCTCTTCTGAGCATGAGGCACAAATGCTAACAAAACAATGCAAAATTTGGTAATATATTTAATTCTGAAAAACATACTTCACCATGCCTTACCATGCTCTACACTGATTCATAATGTTCTATAATTTATAGAATTCAAAGTAAACTTACCATAAAATCAAGTGCCACTGGAGAACCATCTCTATAATTTGGACAATTGTGGAAGTACAAGTTGTACAGCCCTTCTTCAATTTCAGATTCTACAGACACCACAAACTGTAAAAAATATTAATGATTTAAACACGGAAAATACGAGAAACCTAATCACTCTGTAAACATTAACAATTAGTCCAGCATATTACTGGCCACCAACTGATTCAAATATTTATATCCATCAGAAATGATATGATTACATTTCAAACAACAGTCACATGTAAAATAAAGCTGACTGACTTACAGTGGTATTAAAATAGGTAACTCCATTAACAGTCCTATTGCCAATGGGTAACTGCAGTTTCTCTAATTTTGGACATCCTTTTCCTGGAACATGAGCCAGTCTGCTGACACTTGTACTCCCTGCATCACAAATCCATACAACACAACGTTAAAATTTTCAAGATCTGTTGAATTGTTAATGGTGATGAAAAAGAAAAATGAAGTCATCTTTATAGAATTTAAAGTTCTTATAAAAGTAAAAATGTTTAATTGCCTCATCTGGACTGTGATGCTGTATACTCTTACAAATAGTTATAAATGTTCTGAAGCAATGTATTGCCTCCATATTCAAGGTAGAAGTGAAGATGACATATTTTTACAGAACACTGGTAATAATATATACAAGACTACATGGCATCATAACCCAGAGGAATACAACCAACAAGTACTTTTGTTTAACTAACTAATATTATGATAGCAGAATCCAAAGATTCGACATAGATAGTCAGAAAGCCTGTCATTGGACATAATCCTACATCAGATTCATCTTGATAGTTGGTACAGAATTCTGCTTCACAGAACAGCAAAACATGCTCATTAACACATAAAACATATCATGTGTTTACCTTGGTCTCCTGTCCCTTCAGTATTTCTCTTCCGTCGATGTTGATGTACAAGAAATGTGTCACTGAAATGGGATGCTGTGTAACCCCTTTTTGATCGTACTCCTGTAAGCTCTTCAATATCCTTAGATATTTGAATTGATTGAAAATCATGACTGCAATTTATTTGTAACCTTTAAAGGAAAAATAGATTGCATATTTACTGGGATAATTCTCATTAACCTTCATTCAGTCACTAGATTCTTTGAACAGAAAGAAATTTGTATTATGGCTATTACATATCACCTCTACATGTTATTAACAAGCTGCTTTCCATCACCCAATGGAATAAAATCTTGAATGTTCTGCTGTTAATCAAGGCTTAGGAAGAAGAGTGCTCAGAAAGCAATCTGACAATGACAATCTGTCAGATGATAAAGTCACTGTGAGTAACACAATTATTTAACAAATAAACCTATGAACATTGCAGCTTCTGGCAGAAACCTTTCAAATTTATTCATGTACCTTCAAAGAAAATGTTATCTCTGAGGATGAGTTTGCATTTCTGCAATATGTTACTCACAGCTTCTTCTTCAGATCAAGTGTGAAATATATTATTTCACTACTGGGCTCTGAATGAATCAGATCTTGAAGCAGACACACATCTTGGTGGCTGTCCAAGTACGGATTCACAGCGTCATTCCTTGTGCGGTCCAGGCTAAACCCAAACTGTATAAAATAAAACACTGTCACATCCAAATTCCAAAATGTAAACAACATTATAAATTTATATATTATCTGATGACAAAATTATATTATATCCTTTAATTTTATACTAACTGTGTCCCTTGAATTTTAATATTTAACACAATACAGAAGTATTCTACATTATCTACATTTAAGGGTTATCATCTTCAGGAGCACAGTAGTCACGATACACATTTTAAATTGAAGACAATTTTGTAAAAGGATGATAACAAAAAAGAAGAGAAAACATTTATAGCATTTAAGTCATACAGCTAACTACCAATCTAAGTCCCTAAGCTAGCAGCATGCTAAAACATAATGAAATGATCACAACATGATTGAAATGCTGCAAATTATGTTAATAACTCTACCATTCCTAAGATACCTTTTTTTATTCTTACCAACTGCTGTTGATCTCAGTTATCTTTATTTACACTTTTATCATACTTGTTATACTTTCTACAAGAAATAAACACGTTTCTACAAACTATTGGATGATTTAACCAGCAGCTCTAGCTACTGTTCACATAACATACATACATGCAGTATTACATTCAATGCAAGTAATCATTATGAACCTATCAGTTAAACAATTAATGAGTGAAGACTAATAATGAAGCTGTGTAAAGAACAATACTAGTTACGGTAAATCAAGTCCTTTGTAATACATCAACAGGAGTGAATGGAGCTTCTGTTACTATATTGTTCTTTCGTCAGGTTCTATATATGAACTCCTGGGCCAGAAGTCATTAAATTCTTTATGTGTATATAGAGTAAATTATATGACTTACAACATAATTTTCACGGAATGGATTCGCATGAAAATTAGTAAGATTCACTTTAAGCAAACCATCTTTGTAGAAACCAAACGTACTCAGTGCGATATATTTACGGTCATCATTCTGTAATCATAACCAAAACTGAATTATATGGTTTGTTAATAAAATAACATTCGTATTAACTAAATTTAAATGTACAATGTACGGATTTCGGGTAAGGACTGGTTTACGTACATAACACTACACATTTAAAATCTTACTATGTGTAAACTGGGAATAACATACTTTTATTTCCAGTTTATGAATCCTAGCACAACAATTCTGCAGAATCATAAAAAACACAATGTGTATGCATTTCAGTTCCATCTTTTAATGACTATTACGTCGAATAACCTTATCAGAAACATTCATAATTACACAATTTCATCTGACGTATAAGTAATGATCGCAGAATCATATACGCAACTCGTTTATTTGTTTAAGTAATTCTACTATGCTACGGATAGATGTCGCAAATGTGCATTGCCCTCTCTAGATCATCTTTCTTTCGAACTGTACCGCGTATAGATGGCAGTAAGATGATATGTTGTTGGCATTACAATTCATTACATTACATTACTTGGTTGAATGGACTCACAAGCTTATGTTGATAGCTGCATACAAGAGAGGTTTAATTGTGGTAATATTGATGCATATGAAAACATCCTTTTGTATCAATATTAAGTAAACTATAAAACACAATTTTGCTCAACTCAGTAAAAGAGGCATTAGCCACTCATAAGTGCACCAGCAAACATCCTACTTGATACTACATCATTATCATTGCAGTAATATTTCCGAGTATGTCTGTAGCTATGTTGTCTGAACCTTTCCTATGCCTCTAAACACTGGAGCTTAATAAGAAGGCTGTCGTCTGGGTTGTAGTGCCATGTAGTAGACTTTACCAGACTACACAGCACTTACAACCCAGAAGACAGCCGTCTTCATTCTCACTGCTCTGAAAACCTCAAATCTCCCCACTACACTTATATTCTTAAATATTTCTTGTTGGCTGTAGCTGAGACCATAAATGAATAGGACTCTCAATGGTAAATAGAACTGACTTCATGGAGCAGAGTCCTTAAGAAACTAAGTCACTCAGGTAATTTGATTGCAAGCTATTTACAGAATTTAAATATTTATTAATATGTTCACAACTGACTTTCCTGAGCCAGATGAATCTAGTCCACACCCTCATATCTAAATTCTTTGAAATCCAATCCATTCTTCTATCTATGTCCAGGTCTCCCAAGCAGACACTCCATTACATTCTCTGACTGAAACTTTGTATGCATTTATCTTTTCCACGCATGTTACATGCATCACCCTTCTCATTGTCTATGATTTTATAACTTTGATGCTAGTGAAGAGTACAAATTATAAAGCTCTTTATTATGTGGAAAGAAAGTAATATTAAAGGGTACGTTTTACATGAGGCTGAGTTCATCTCAGATGAAATAAGAAGGCTGAAGAGTAGTGAACATTTTTACCGATTGTGCTACTGCTTACATTACATACCATACTGTTTGCTTGACTATGATGTGTAGGTGGTAGCACAATACTTACATGGTATTTGTTTTCTATGGCGAAAACTATCACACATGGTCATAAAAAGTGGGGTCATGCTTATTGCAGTTTTGACTGTAGTTTTATTGGACGTCATTTGAGAGTAAAAGGAACTTTACTCTACTGCTAATAAAAATGAGTCTTCTGCATTTACCATGTGAACTGTTGATCCATATATTCGAATACACAAGTGGGGGAGATAAAGTGAATCTGAATATAACATGTCGGAGATTTAACGAAATTCTGAAGGACAAAAAAATGACAAGGTAAAGTGTTGTGCGTTAATGGCAGTTTAACGCAGTAGGTGAGATGTTATACAATTTTTTAATACACGACTTGCATTTAGTTCCTAAAGTGGATATTTCGGAAGTCCGTATGCTTTGGTCTAATTACATTTTAATGTAAAATATTTAACAAACACCACATATTACTAGGTAACAATTAGTATAAAATTATTTTTATCAGGTGTAGTAAACAGTGGTCTGAATTCATTGACTTGTTAAGTAGAAAAATTGACCCAGAGTGCTAGTTCCCATCACAGTGCACTATTGTCATTACTTTTAATTAGTAAGATTTGAGGTTTTCACAGCGGTGAGTATGAGGGTTACTGTCTTCTGGGTTGTTGCACCATGTAGTATGGTAGATGTTTACATCTACCATACTACACATACTTTTAATTTATTTTGCAATTTTTGGAACAAATTTTTCATAGAAGTGTATGACATTTAAGCAGTCACTAGTGAGATACAAAACATATTACTTGCAAGTAGATGACACTTAAAACTTCTTGTGCTTGCACACATGTGGGTAACCTTTTAAAGCAGTATTGAGGAATGGACTGCAGATACTGTAATTCATCTCAAAACTGTTGTGTGAAAATGAATTGCAACAGTATTATGAGACATTACTAGCATGTTATTGAGAATATTATCATCAGGTCAGTTTAGTTAGTGTGATGTGCCAACATTTTTATCTTAAATTTAGGTCATATAGTAACTTTTGTAGGGATATAAAAACTCAGGTCTAATAAGCTGAGAGCATCTGTTCTAGAGTAGAGTAGAGTAGAGTATAACTAGGTCAATTTTTACATAGTGTTTTGTAGTGTATGAATAGAAATTATGTACTGTTTTTTTAATCTTATATGTTAATCTGTATTTAATTAAAACAAATTTTGTTAAATATGTATTTCAGCTGAAATTTATTGCAGGTTGAGGAATTATTCCCAATTCAGATTTTATTAAGATTGTGTGTATATATCAATGTTTTGACATTTGGACTGTTGTGTGTTATTTGGAATATGAAAGTACATGTAATGATTGGTACCTGTATACTTAGCATTAGTTGGAGCATGTGTATTCTCTGCTTCATACTGATTTCATGATCACTGTCATGGCAGCATTTATGAAAATACATTAACATGGAAAAGTTATTGTTCTTTGTGTGTAGGTGGAATCTGCATATCAGCTACATATTGTGTATTATGCTTGAACAAAGAATGTGAATTTTGGTGGTGAGAAAATTCTACAGTGTTTATTGATTTTAAGTGACATATTACAGATAAAGGTTAACTTGTCTGAGTGATTAAAGATAATGTTATGGAGACATATGGTGGAGTGAAGGTAATATTCCATGCATTCTGGATCTTAGCACTAGATGGTTGTGTTTGGCCAGCTTCACATTGTGACCACTTTACGCCCAGGGAAAGACCTCTTGGATAGAAGGCTAGGTAGGCCCCAGAATAATTTTGGATGCATTGATGGCGAAGAGAAATGTACTTCTCCTTGTCAGGAATGGAAGTCTGATCATTAAGTTTAAAGCCAGCGACTTTACTGACTTGGCTAACCTGATTTATTTATGAGATGAATGTTCCCACGTTTCAATCTTTGTTTTGGTGTTAAATGAACAAAAATAGATATTTAAATATTATTTATTTTCCAAGTATACTTTCTGTGCCTTTTGTAAAGATGACTGTCATCTGGGGTGTTGCACTGTCCCAGAAGACAGCCATCTTCATAATTGTCACTGTGAGAACTTGAAATCTCACCCTTGACAAATTTGTTGAATAAAATAGTAGTGTTAAATTCTGCCACATGGATTTAATATTTTAGGAATAGATACCATCATGAATCTGTAAGCTTGTCCTTGAATGGTCAGGCATGGGTTGGTAGGTGATAAAGGGAGATTGTGCTACTTTGTGGAAACAAACCAGTCAGTCAGGTATGAGTCTTAATCATTTTTTTTAATTTGAGGATGTTAGTATTAAGAGAAATTAATAGGTTTATTAAAGTTAAAGCAATATAATTGGTTGCTGGTGCCTGGGGACAGGCACAATATTTTCATCTTGGAGAGTATAGGCTTGACCCAGGTCAAGCCAGTTACTGTACTAGCATTAAATTTTTACTGTTCTAAATGAATAGGTCTCTGGAATTTTATGACCCTGGTGAAACTGAAATTTTACAGAAAAGAATAGCTTACATGTTATACACAGATTATTCTGTGAAGAATATTTAATAGGTAATTGGCATAGAACATTAATTTTTTTAAGAAGTTAACATGACTTTTCTCTTGCAGGAAGATAGACTTTGCAGGATGTTATACTGCCAACATCTCTCATATAATGTGTTACCTGAAGCCAAAGATAGTTAATGAAAATATCAAAGAACTTGACCTAACAAGCTGCTATTGGCTGAAGTCTGTAGATATTCAAAAATGTGCATTGAAGCTGCCAAACCTTGAAGCTTTCCATGTAGCAGACACATCTCTAACAACGGGTGATCTCATGAAGGTTTTGTGTTCATGTTGTAAGGTATTTACTGTTATTTCAACTGAACATATATATAAAGCAATGGTTTTCACAGGGGTGGGTTAAACATGGGCCAGAAAGGAATTAAAAATGCTGGACAGAAGTACAATTTAGACTCAACACCCATCTTCCAGATTATACAAATCTAAGTGCTGTTTAGCCTGGTTTCCCTTTGCTGATCTCATGCAGCTGCTTTGTAGTTGAATGAGTCTCCAGTCCCTTTTATGCTTGTAGTGTCAGCAGAGAGTGATTAGGGAAAGGAAAGGACGGTGATGTGGGGTCAGGTGTAATGGTTACCGATCTGTGGCTTGGCTCAATATAATGTCAGCATGCTAGATTAAGTTGTCATGTTATACATTTTTTTATGTTTTAATATTTTCATTAGTTTTAATGTCATATTTCTTTGATTTCAGATAAAGCAACTTTCTTGGTCATGGAATCCTGTATTTCCTGTCAGACGTTCATCACTTCCAAGTATAAGTTCAATTTCATCTCCGAGTTCCTTGGAGTTCCTGTTTTTGTATATAAAAACTGGACTCATCAGTGATCGTGATCGGTCTGAAATTGGCGCCTGGCTTTCAATGTGCATTGATCTCAGGGAATTATGGGTAAGGAATTGCAAGATTTGAAATTCATTGAAAAGTTGATATGGCAGGCTCTTGTGAACATTACAATGAAACTTAAGGTTCCACAAACAGTTAGGAATTTCTTGAACACCTTTACGATTATCAGATTTTCAAGGAGTGAGATCCATTGTGTTAGAATTAGATGACTGGTTGTTGCTGAAAATTTAATAGCTATTTATCTGATCTTTACATTTTCTGATTTGATGTAAAATGGTAGTTACAAGGGGCAGTGAAGCATCTCCAGTAAACTCTTCTATCCAACCCCAGCCTTGGCTTCTTATGGTGCAACCTATTTTAACCCTTAAAGCACAGGTGTAATTGTATGTACTACCTTCCATTATATTGTGTTATGTATGAAAGAAAAGGTGTTTTATTGCTTATTGAAACTTGATGATTTTATAACATAAAATAACAGTAATATATTTGATTTGAATATTTTATATGACAGTTTCATAACTGACGAAGTGGCCGGTTCTAGGCTGAAGCATACTGCTTGCTTCAGAGTACTGAGAAAGATATTTGGATGTTAGTAAGAGGACATGGCTAGAGAGAGTTACATATTAAGAAGCTTTATAGTTTGCGTTCTTTACCAACTACAGGCTGTTTTGTTCAGAGTGCAAGCCTAATACTACACATGAACCCCATTCTGCAAAGAATGGCAAAACCAATGGCTGTATTGAATTCTTGCAAACATACCCCATTGTAACAGCTGATACTCTGCATGAAATCAATATGGCTATAATTTCAGCTGTTTTGTCACTCATGAGGACTTTCATGGGTAAATTCTTTTTTTGTCTTAAAATTCTATTATCATTGAGTGTGCAGTTGTCTTATTTGATGCTTCCTAGTCAGGATACACACTGCTAAATGCTTCACAAACAGTGGTAAATGATTTTTATGTACTGTCATGTTCAAGAATGAACATATGTTTAGCTGGTGAATAAGCCATGTTTGCACCTGCACAGCTTTTGTTAAGCTAGCATGAGCATCATCCTAGCAAACAGGTTGACCTTGACTCAGGTGTTGACAGATACTTACTATATTCTGGTTTAATTTTTATACAATAGCATGTATTTGAAATGGTACACTCTGTATTACTAGGGTGATCAGATCAAGGATGAAATGTGCAGGGAATGTAGTATGTATGATGGAGATAAATGAATACAACAATTTAGTTTGAAGATTGGAAGTGAAGAGACCACCACTTGGGAGACCTAAGAGTGGATGGAAGGTTAAGCTAAAAATGTATCTTCAAAGAAATGGGGTATGAGGGTGTAGACTGCATTCATCTGACACAGTATAGGGACCAGTGACAGGCTTTTGTGAACATGGTAATGAGCCTTTATATTCCATGAAAGGTGGAGAATTTCTTGACCAACTTATCAAGGACAACTGTACAGTGTTAGATATTTTGAATACTTTTGTTGTGGTATAAACAAGTTTTCTCTATAATTTCTTGCAAATATAAGGTGTTTGCTTTCTTTTGCAGATTATTTTGCCTGAACAAGAGAGTGATAGCATTTCTCACAGTTGGTACTCTTACAGTTTGGAATTACAATTTAGATATCTGCATACACTAGTAGTGTCGTCATTCAATTATCCTAGCACAAGAGGTTACCTTACGGGACTCTACTCTGTGATCATGGAAGGCTGCAGATCTTGTCCCAAGAATTGGCAATGCTTCTGGACTTCAGGTGGTAAGCATCTTGATTAGCCGTTTGGTGCCCTGCACCTCTGTACTCCTCATTGTATGTTACAGACAATGGTGCACTGCACTTACACATTCAGTGTCTGTTTTATATTGCTTCCTCTTCTATATTTATAAAGGTATTTCAAATATAATTTGATGTCTTTTAAGATGGAAGTTTTCCCTTTCTCATGTTTTGTTTTGTTCTTCTCTTTTAATTTTGCCTTGTGTTATGACCATCTTCATAAGAAGTACACAAAAAATATTGACAAAAATAGAACTGTGTCAATTTGTATCTTAGCACAGTGTTTCTGATTTGCTTCAAATTTTAAAGTGTTTCTTGTCGTTTTTTAAAATTAAATGTGTGTGTCTTTTTATACAAAGTTCTGTTTGGTATATGAATTATGATTTGACATTGTATTGTGGGTCTTTTTATGTGAATGTTTACATTTCTCATTTTTCTATTTTAAGTGTTGTGGTAGCAGTGGCGGGCTTTTATGAACACGTGATGAACCTTCAGGTTCCATTAACAAGGTAGGCTATTCTTTGATAAGCTGAGTAACAGTCGACTTTTCAGAGAATATCCTGTACCATAGAGTGACGGAATGAGTGAGTGTAGTAATAGCTTGTTTTGTGCCACCATTGTGTTTACATTTATAATACAACAAAGAATGAGTTGTATTGACAGCTGGAATTACATTTTTTATTGCATTTTCGTCTAGTTGAAATTTTAAGTTTCTGCCCTCCTACCCATTTTCTGATAGGTTTTACACCATCAATATCAGTTATGGCATTCTCTAGTGACAGTAAACATTAGAATGATAACATTTATTCTTTTTTGTTTGATTCTGATGACAGTCAATTGAATAAAAATAATATCCAAGGAAATTTTTATTCAATTGACTCTTCACCATCGTCAAGAAGTTTTAGATTTGATATCTGATGACAGTGTTATAGATGATTTGAGCACCAGTGATAATTATGATAATTATGATTGTACTCTTGGTGATGCTGTCGGTTCTGTAGAAATGGATGAAGAATTGGAAAATAAAGATGTATGTCAGTAGCAACCTGGGCTAAGTATTGACAGTATTAGCTTTGACTGGGGAGGTATGGACATTTACATAGGGCAGAGTAAGGTTTTTCAGACAGTGATAATTCACAAATGGTGCCAGAAACATAGTTGACATTGTAGATGTCTTATTATGTTTTTCTAATTCTGACTTTATTCAGAAAATTACTGTTGAAACAGATCACTTTATAGAACAATTTATAAATTCAGAAATGTTTTCACTCAGATATATTGTCAATTAGTACACCCTTGTGACTGTAAACAACATATATATATTCTGACTTGTTTGTTTATAGTAATGGGAATCATAAGCCCACCAATCGATTCTACTTTTCTATAAAAGGAATTTTGTCAGCATCAGGCAATTTTGCAAGTCCAGTAATTAATGACTGGTGTATTACATTTTAATTTTTTAGTAGGGTATTTATCTGGCCAGTAACCCTGAATTTAGTGTTTAATAATTTTTATAATGCCTTTTTTTAAACTAAGATAACATAATTGCCTTTAACTACAAAGTGTATAATTATTTTGGCAGTATTCTCAGAATTTTTTTCATAGTGTTACATTCACAAAAAAAGAAGAAGAAGAAGAAGAAGAAAGGATATGTTGCTTTGGATTTACATTCAGCAAATGTGGTCCTGAATATAAAACTTTGATAGGGTCTATTTCATTATTAAATGATCCATGGATTATTCAGGTCAGCCCAAAATAACTTCATATTTGCTTTCTTGTATAGAATTTCCATCAAGATGGCCATGTATAACAGACGGTTTTAATGATAAAACAGCAACACTCATGCTGTCATGGAAAGATGCAAGAAGTATTCTTGATAACTGTTATGAACTCCAGCATCTCTCCTTAATTACTTCAGATTTGGATGTCACGGAATATTTTTATCAGAAGGACTATGAATCGCTGAAAAAGTTGTGTTGGAAGTCAAGAAGAATTCCAGTAAGCATCTTATACCTTGTAATGCTTTTTGTACAGAAGATACTTAAAACATTAATTGATTAACTTATTTAGAAAGTTTGATTTGCCAGTATGCTGTATTACAAATGGAATTGAGACTCATATCAGAAGCTAAGACATTGTTCAGTTTATTAGCTTGCTGTGAATTTCCCCCACAATTTTGCTGATAAGAAAGCAAAAGAATTTTGAGTTTAAAACAGAGTTGCAACATTGAACTCATTATTCTGAACCTTAAGATGGCAGTATTTTGCTGTCCTGTGTACTGCAGAATTATTATACTCACTAGTACAAACATAATTATATGCTGGGTCTGCAGACAGCACAGCATTACTAAAATGGGGATGAACTACTTATCACAATAAATTCTCATTTTATACAAAGATGGCATGTGCTGCTGCAAGGAGGTAACATCATAATACAGGAAATGAATGTTGCGGTCAGTGTTATACAGAATTTATCAGAGCGTTGGAGGGAATGAGCAACAGAGTGTTTACATGTCACTGCCATAGCAGACAAAATATCGTGTAACAGTAACCCTTTGTAGGTGAAGCTCATCTAAATAATATTTAAGAATTTATTCTATACTTAAATGAAAACATATCACTTCACCATTACAAAGATCTCCTTGTTTAAGGAAATAATCCCTGTTAACAGTGACAATCTTATAACCTGTAAGTACAAAATGCAGAGTTATTGATTGCTAAATTAGGTGGTACATATAGTTACCATTGGGCTTTGAAGGGTTAAATTCATAGCTTTATGTGTTGCCAGCAGTTGTTTCCTGTGCATCTACATAAACCTAAATGAGGTATGTCAAACTCATGGTCAGTGGCAAATAAGATTTTATTAAAAAATGTGAATTGCTGTGTGTTCGAATTTGTACAGAGTGGTCCAGAACTTGTGTCTTATCCACTATTGCTGATCTTTATGTTTTAGGTAACCCTTTGTTTCTGAATGTACTTAAGTATCAGTATGTGTATTAATTTCCTGTGATTCTGGATGCTGGACCATTCTGTATTTGTAATGTAAAATGTACTCTGAGTTATTAAAAGTTGCTTTAAAGTTTGTGATTTATTAATTAAACATGAAAAGATGCCCTAATTATATAAACTAGACTTTTTTTTAGGAGAGTGGCACATTTTATTTGTAAGAAAGTGTTGTGTTTGAGTACTTCATCCAGTATCATTTGCAGATTTAAGCATAAATGTGTATGTGTCATTTATGATCTCCATGGAGTTTTATTTTCTTGCTCCATTAAGAATAGTTGTTCAACTTATACATTCATATGATAAAGATACATATGAATAAAAACTTGGCACTTGAACTGGAAGTAACTTCTGAGTTACTTTCACTTTGATTGGGTCCCATGTTTGGCTTTTGTGAACATGATAGTGTACCTTTGGTTTACATAAAAGGTGGGAGATTGCTTTACTGACTGAGTGACTGTTAGCTTCTATAGAAGACTTTGCTTCATTGATTTGTTTGGTTCAGTGGAACTTGCTTTTATCCCGGGCTTACAGGGCTCCCCACCGCTTCCCAGTTACATTAACTGACATGTTGTATGCCAATATTTCTAACTTTTTAATGTATACTTTATGTGCCTAGGTGGATTGGAATTTATTGTGGAATTCCAGTAGGAACTTGGAGGAGCTGAATATAGCAACTTGTGTCAAGAAAGTAGAGAAAATGCACAGGAAGGACAACCTCCGTAAATTGGCATTGCCTTCATGTATTATTTTAGGTATTTTGTTAATAATTGTTTATGTGTGTGTATATGTATTTTGGGTTCTTAAAAACAGAAGTTTCTTTGGAATCCTGTTTGTTTCATGTCCCATGATTTAGCTACAGACATCAGTGTTTTAGATCAATGGTTGGTGACCTACGGCATGTGAAGCAATTTTAGATGATACTTTAATCCAAATTATATGTTACACTGAAATTCCAAAACCAATTACTGTCAATTCCTATTATTAAAAAGTTTAAATCTTTTAAGTATAGTAGACAAAACTAGTATTCCCTAGTAAGAACTAGAAATTATTGCAATTGTTAGTGAAATCTTATACTAAAATTGGTATTTACAGTATTTATTACTCTTTTTCACCCCTATTTGTTGTACAGTTTTTATTTAACCTAATTTTGCAGACTTTTAAGCAAAATTGTTATGAATCATACCAACAATTTTTATTTATTTTTTGTTTTTGTTAGTGAATAAAAAGTTATACATACCAAACGTTTCTTGAAAGTAAACAGAAATCAATATTATAAAAAGTTGAATGAAAGGAAAACATAAGTTTAATGTAAATTAAAATAAAATATACAGATACCAAATGAAAACTTGAACTGTGGTAGAAGGTTAATTAATTTTTACTTGTTTTTACATGAGATATTAGCATTAAACTGAATTACAAGGGATTATCTTCTTGCCCAAGAACAAATATGTGGCAATGAAATCTAATATATATCTTTCACCTGAACCCACAGTTGAGATGCCACAAATTTTTTTGTCCACATTAATTATGATGATAAAATTTTGTTTGCAAATATCAAATTGAGATCTTCAATACAGGTTTGTTAAGATGCTTTTAGTAGTTTTGATTCCATTTATCAAGATTGAGGGAGACTGACAAATTATTGTAGTAAAATGTTTGTGATATTACTATGCTGTGTGGAAAAGTTATGTTGTTGAAGTATTTTTATAAATAAAACACCAATTAAATCCAGTATTGACATCAAATCAAGTCAAAAATGCTGTTTTTTTTATAAAAATCTGTACCACTTTATAAGTATATATATTATTTGATATTGCAGAGTATAAATTTAGGAAACCATTTTTGGCACACATGAAATATTACACTTCTAAAATTTAACAAGAAAAAGATTGTCAATCTCTGTTATAGACATCAACTGAAACTTTGTCTTTCAGCCTTTTGTGTCCTCCCCATCTTCATTCTTTTTAACTCTAAAGTAACACCAGTATTGTGGCCATTTGAATTTGTAGTATGTACAACAGTAGTGGATTTCATTGTTTGGTAATGGCTTATTGACATGTCATTTAGTAGTATGAATAGTATTAAATGTTACTTTTTCCCCTTTGGAGCACTGAAATGCACAGCACCATGCCTTTAATATTTGTTTTCATTGCAATGTACCTTTTAAGTTAATTTTGAAAACAATTTTTTTTATTTTGTGGTATGGATTAATGTTTTGTTTCCATAATTGTTGTAGATGGATGCTCACAGAGCAACCAGCAGACATCAAGATCGAACAGTGCAATGGAAGTAATTATTGAGACATGCCCTGACATTGAGGAATTCGAGTTATTGCCGTGTCTTCATTGGTAACCATCATACTTGTTTAAAACATGTTTCTTTTGTTAGTGACACATAAGCCTTCTAGTATGCAGTATCAAGTGTTAAGTACTCTAGTTCATATTCAAAGCTGCTCAGTTCCTATTTTGACCTGGGACTGTGACAGTTCTAAGGTTTCTGTGATTTCCTCATTTCAGCCCTGTAATTTGTAGAATATTACTTACTTCCTTCTCTGTCATTTCAAACAACTGTCATTTTTCAGTTGATGCTACTCTTTTGTGGCTTCTGTAATTGCACAGCATTGCAAAGTATACAAAGACTACTGAATAAGACATGTATTCCAGGTTTTTGTAGTGTTTTCAGGAGACAGTTTTTTTAATGAAAGTACTTCTAAAGATCAAAAACAAATATATTAATGTGGGTTTATCCCACTAGGTAACTACACAAGCGTGCAGGATAAGTGATAAAACTTCAGTAGTGAGAAAATGTATAGAATATGCAACACCATACTTGCAATTACTGGTATGCTTCAATGCTGTCAGAATTGATCTCATCATTGTTAGTGCCCCAAACTACAGTGCTGTTACTTTTGAAGTGCTAACATTTTTTTTTTTTGTATGTACTAGGAAACCTGGAAACCTTTGTTCAGTACTTGTTTGCCATCTTACACATTTTTTTTTTTCATTTAAATATTTAATGCATCCACATTCAGCTTTGGTTGAAGCTCAGGATTCCATTTTATTTTGTGATTCTTAATATATTTATGCATGAAATGGTATAACCAAAATTCCACCTTATGAAATATGAAGAACACCACAGCTGGTTTTGCAGTTTCCAATTCTTGTCTGAATGTGATTGTTATGTAACTGTGTTTTCAGCTCATCTCACGTTTGTCAGCAGCCTCGCGTATGGCAGGAATCATCATTTGTGTTATTTGCAAAATGGCAGAACCTCCGTCGGTTCAAATTGGAGAAACTGGATTTCATTCGGTCAGGAAGTTTCTTTACACAGGTGAACGTTTTAGATACACTCACATACAGCAAACCCTTGATTTAATGGACTAATAGGGGGGAAGGGGTATCTGGTAATGTCAGTTGTCTATTAAATTACACAGTTGTTTTTATAATGCATTCTTAGACCATAATTTCCATTAGGAACACCAGATTTGAAATATAAACAGTACGATGATAGAGTTTACATATATATAAACAGTACATTGTAAAGAGATAAATAAGTGCAGAAAATTCAGTGTGAATTGGTGGACACTTTTGATGTAAATGGACAAAGTTCATTAAACTGAAAATATTCACTAATGCCTTTTGTCCAGAAAAAAATTGGTAAAACCAGACAGTGTCTATTGAATCCGAAATCCGTTAAATCAGGGGTTTGCTTGTTTCTATAACAATTCATTACAGTTATTCAGTTTATTAGAATGTGAGCTTGCCTTTAAATTATTTCACAAGGAGTTTATAAATTACTGGGTCAATAAAATATTAGATATTCCATTGTTATGGAATATCTAATATTTTATTGCTCCATCATTAGCTGAAATGAACTGTCGGAGCAATGTACTAGCATATGAGAAATAACCAACTGAAGAGACATCCTTGATTCAGATGGTTACAGTGTTTGTTGAATAAGATGTGCAGCCTGTAACCATCCAGCCAGGCAGTCATACAGAATGATATTCTTGATGTCTTTAGCATTATCTGAACTGATAAGTTACTTCTTTTTACATATTCCTGTCTACAATTTAAAATCCATACTTTGTAAGCAAAGCAAAAATCCTGCTTTTTATTTGCTATGTATCTGCAGAACCTAACCACATTATACCCAATTTGCTGTGTATGCGTACATATATGGGAATAAATGTGTTGGCTTGACAGACATGAATTAAAGCTGAACCAGTGCAGGAAGTTCTGAGTGCCATGATTGGAATAACTTGACATCAGTCATACAGAACAGTTGGCATATTTTTCTTCACAATGGTAAATAATGTAATGACGAGCTGTCAGCTTTACATAGACGTATTACATAAGCCGTCATATTCAAGTCACATTTTTGTTCCATTGCCATAATTGGCAAACACTTCTCAACATTTGAAGCAAAATAAATAAATAAATTATAATATAACTTCCATTCATTAGCCAAGTGTCACATAGTGAAACAAGCAAATATTTTCAGACATGTTTGTCATGATGTGCATTAAAAGGTGGAGTGTCAGCAAGTTGTATTGTTGGTGTATACCTGCTCTGTTTTGACTTTCATTATCTTGGGTTCAGACACCAGCCTGTGCTTATCATTTAAACAAGTTATCATCAGATGAGGTTTGTTTTCTCTTTCTTTGGCATGACAACACTATAATCTAGAACTGCCTTCAGTCCCAGTTTGTCATTGTTATGTTGCTGTGCAGACTACAGACACAAAAATATTGCTATAATGAGTTTGTTTATGGTTAAGTCAAGGAGAAATATGACTAATTGACAGCGTATGAATCATCTGAGAGAAACACCATAGGCAAGAAACAAAAAAATTGGCTTTTGGGTTGCTGCGTGGGTTGTCACAAAATGGATTTTTCTTATTAGCTAAAATTTTGAGGAATTAAGCTGCTCACATATTTGATGTGCATACATACGTGTATCTTCATTTTTTGAACATTTATTTCAGATTTTTAAGTCATGTGAGAAACTGGAAAGTATTTCACTGAAGAATCTGGGTCTCTCTGGACATTGTAACTACTTATATGAACTCTGCAGAGCTCTGAAATTTTGCAAGAATTTAAGAGATTTTAGGTAAGTGCATTATCTATAAAAATATTTTTAACTCTTAATAAAAGAATCAGTATTTATTTGTGTATGTAGGAGGGCGCGAGCCCGCCTCGAGCTGCCGCCGGTGTAGATCTTGGTGGTAGTAGCAATCAGCAATACCAAAACTTTTCCTCATTGACATACAAGGTAAGCATGCATAAATATGTCTTCCCACGTCATTCAGTTCTTGAGTCCCCTTACCATTGCAAACTTGTGATGTAGGAGTGACACTAGTACCACTTAATGTAGGCTTCTGAAATGTGTGACAGTAGATCTTTGAAAAAATGTCCAACTTTGTTCATGTAAGTGTTCATACATTCTAAAGTAGGATTTTGTGGCCACCGAAGATCTACTTAACAGTCTCGACAGTGTTAACTAATGAACCATTGGAATTTAGTATGTGAAATTCATGGCAGTAGATCGTGAAGATAACTACAAATTGTGTATAGAACATTGTTTACATGTTACCAATTACAACCATGGTGGCAGTGCGTAAGTTTGAAGTTATGTCTGACAAATATAATATATTATAATTCAAATCTGTAGCAGTAGAAATGATGCACAAAAATTGATATATTGCTCATATAACTTCTTGTTTATTTATAGAATTGAGCAGGCCGCTATTTCATCAGCAGATAGACTGTTCAGGGCATTACAAACTTGTCCTCTGATACAAAGAGTTTGTGTAATTAGCATCAACAGGAGTAACCTATCATCAGAATCATTGTTGGCAGAGTTTGTGTCAGGTGCACCAAAACTTGTCTTCCTGTATGTATTCCTGGATACATTGACTGAGGCAGAATGCAGGCGAATTAAAAATGAAATCTTTGGAAGGTATGTAAATGGGAATTATACATAGTGTTTTGGAGCAACTTTGGTTTTGGGTTATGTGACTCAGATGACCATTACTGTGTATGGTTCATACTCCATAATTGCCATAAGAATTGTGTTTTGTCCACGTTGCCTTGCATTATACCAGCAACATGATACGTTATTTGGCCCCACATTTAAATATGAAGCAGAATCCTTGACAGACTAAAAGCCACTCTGCTGGTCTAGAGTTTCCCTGCCTTTCATGAAACCCAAAGTTATATTACTTTGTATACAAGAGCCTGCCAATTTTGAGGTTCCATGTAACATTTCATAATGTAATATTTTTTTATAGTGAGAGGTTTTTTCCTTATGCCCAGTCACTAGCTGGTGGACCACTGTCTGCAACTGCTTATTCAATGTATTTGCAGCTACCCTCCATATGGGTAGGCAGTCTGCTCGATCTGCGTCATGAGGACATGCCATACTGTGTGACAAGGGACCCACGTAACATGGCCCCACAGTAAAAGATCTTCTCAGCTTTTGTTTAATGTTCTTGCTCATAGAAATGTAACTCTTCTAACCTTCTTTACTCCCTCTCCTCACATTCTTTCCGACATTGTGCCTCAGGTTTTATCTGCATTACTTTTTGCAGAACATTTCTCATCAGAATAAAATTTCCTTTCTTTATTTACTTTTTTACTGAGACACTGTTCAAGATGAACTCAATTTAATCTCTCTGACTTTTTCTATACAAATACACTACTAATGTGTTCTGTTTCTAATATTTTGACGTGAAAACGTATCTAAAATCGATGCCGTGTGTGGGGAGGCAATTGCGCCCAAATGAGCGACAGTTTCTGTCGAAGTAATTTCAAACTTCAATAACTCGGCTAAAAATAGACATAGCGCCGCCATCTTAGTCTCGTTTTAAAGAGAAAGGTTGAAAGTTTGTGCCAGTACCGCTCCGACATTCGTGGCGGCCGGACGTCGCGAACTGCGCACGCGCAAAGCGAACCCACGTTTTTCGACTTTCCGGGTTCGACACGTGTCCATAAACGGGATCATATCTCAGAGACTAATTATCCGATCCGAGT